GCACTTCTCATCCCTCCCCCTCAGCCTCCTGCCCTGCACTCCTCATCCCCATCCTCATCCCCCCTCAGCCTCCTGGCCCGCACTCCTCATCCCTCCCCCTCAGCCTCCTGCCCTGCACTTCCCATCCCCATCCTCATCCCTCCCCCTCAGCCTCCCGGCCAGCACTTCTCATCCTTCCCCCTCAGCCTCCTGCCCTGCACTCCCCATCCCCATCCTCATCCTCATCCCTCCCCCTCAGCCTCCCACCCCGCACTCCTCATCCTCCCCCTCACCTGCAGCAGATCTAGTGCGTCAGCCTCCGGGAACAGCAGCTGCAGGTTGTCGACAGTGTAGCAGCCGGTGCCGTGCGTCGCCGCGATGTGATCGTGAGCGAGCAGGAACCCGACGACGTCCCCGCACAGCCACCGCGGCGCAATCACCACCACGTCCTGCATCGACTGGGACCCGCCCTTCAAGTAGAGCGCGTCGCCAGCGAGCTGCAGCTGCTGCGTCAACTCCCTCAGGTGCTCGTCGCCGGCGAGCGGGTTCACCTGCTGTCGCACCGTGTCCTTGAACTGCGCCCAGGAGAGCGCGGGGAACGCGCGCGCGCAGCGCCGCCACGCGGGGAGCCGCGCCGACACCGCGTCGAGGAATCCCGTCCGCGGCGGCAGCGCGGCGGCGACGAGCCGTTTCTCGTCGCCGAGGTGCGATCGCAGCGCCCTCACGCCGGCGCCGCTCGGCACGTACGCGTCGACGACGTACGTCTCGTCGGCGATCGCGAGATCCGCCGCGTATCTGTCGGCGAGGATCCGCCGGATCTGCTCCGCGCGTTCGCTCACGTACTCCCCCGCCGCGCCGACGTGCGTCGCCGCGGCGACGTCGGCGTGGGTCGCGACGATGGCGACGCGCGCGGGCCGCCGCCGCCGCCCGCAGTGTCCGATCGGGTGTTCGTGCGGGAGCCGCGCGCGGAGGAACTCCAGCCAGTAGGTGAGCTGGCGTAGTTGGAGTTCGTCGGGGTCGTCGAGGCGGTAGACGACGACGTGCACGCAGCTGACGTTGCCGATGAAGTGGTCGTAGAGGAGGTGGTAGGTGTCGACGCCGCTGAACTCCCACACGCTGAGCTCTCCCACCCCGGGAACACTCGCCAGCTCGATAGACACTCCTGCGGGGAGAGGGAGGGGAGAGGCATTAGACGCACGGTCAAGTACAATCATGTACTTATGTATATATATCAGAATCATATATGTATATATATCAGAATCATATATGTATATATATCAGAATCATATATGTATATATATCAGAAT